TCTTAGTTTCACCATCTGTAAAACGGGAATGATAATAATACCCGTTTCATACGGTTGTTAGAAAGAGCCAATGGCATAGTCTATGTAAAATGTTTAATACAGTGGCTGGCAAAGGAGTCTTCAAGTAATTGGTAGGTGATCGTTAGGATTGTAGGATACTGATGAACACATGAAGTGCGCACTGTTAGGAAACCAGCTGCTCCCCACTCTTGGGCCACACAGGGCTGACCTGTAAGTGTGGGATAGCAGCAAACTCTCTCCAGAGTTAACTTCCTGGGTGCCAAGGATATGCCTTATCAGTAGCTGCCCCGCCTTACCTCACATCTTGGTATCTGCAGCACTAAGAGCTGTCTGAACCCCTGGGGCATCCCATCCATCCATCCACCCATCCATCATCTCTCTCTCTCTCTCTCTCTCTCAGGTTAAAGTGCCACAACAAATGCACCAAAGAAGCCCCACCATGTCACCTCCTCATCATCCACCGAGGAGGTAAGTATTTAACACTTGCTGCTGCCGTAGGGGCAGGAATGGAGTGGGGGCCTCTGCAGGCCATCTGCGATAGCGGTCGCATCCAGGCCGAGTCTGGATACCTCCTGCTCCCGAGTGTGGCCCGTATCATTTCTTTCCTTCTGATACTCTTCTTCCTGACATCTGTCTCCTTAATCCACTCCCCGCCCCAGCCCCGTCCTCCCTATTTCTTGCCCTTATAACTGGCCTCTCTGATACTTTAGCTCCCAGACTGATTTCCTCCTCCCTAAGTCTTTTTTCTCTCATTCCTTTCTCCTCTTGCAATTTCCACTCTCTCCTCTTTCCCCCAACTTGGGGCTTTTCCTTCCCACTTGAAAAGAGTGCTGGCGGAGTGTTTTCCCATTATGTGCNTCTCATTTAGCCAGCAGCTCCTCTGAGGAATGAGATTTCGCGTAAGCAACTTCTCTTGGTAACTGAAGCTTATCCTATTAACCTTGGAAGTTTAAAAAAAAAAAAGAACCGTGTTCAAAGAAAGTTTGAAATAAATCCTTTCTAAGTTTGCAGGCTGTGTGCAGCCCGCCTGGCATTCCCTGTGTTGCACTCAGTGTGTCTCAGCCTTGCTGGCAGAAACCTTGGCCTGTTGGCTGCCCACGTGGGCGCTACTTGGTCATTTTCTCCCTTGACACCCGTCACAGTTTGGCAGGTGAGGATCCTGGACCTCAGCAAAGCAGACACTTATCCCATGGTCTGAGATGGGTGGAACTGTGATTCAAGCTCAGGTCAGCTTGAACCTGAAGCCCAAGCCTTTCACCACTTCTGGGACCACATAGAGCCTTCTCCTATGCCTGAGAGTTGCTCAGAGCCACCATCCTAAATCACCGTGCTGCTGCAGGCCATGCCTGGGGTGGAGGTTTGTCCCAGGCCGTCAGCGGTGCCCTCCCTAGCTCTCTCTTTTCCTCCTTGTGGAACAGAGCGTCTGCGGAACCAAATTTGTTAGGGACTATGGGCTAAAGAGACACACGAACCACAGTGAACAGAGGGCTTGGTTTTGGTGCGAGAGCTTTAGGACAGACCACGTTGGTGTACTGAACTTCTGGGAATAATCATGGCGTCTCAGTTGGCCTCCCCTGTTTCTACAGACCTGGGGACAAGGATTCAAGGGTAAAATGGTTGGTTTACTGGAGAGATCATCTCAGGCCACAGCAGCAGGGGAGTGGAGCAGTGTGACAGGGGAAGGAGAGGCCACCAGCACGGGCGCCTCGAAGAGTGGTGACGGCCGTGGGTAACTCGGGTGCAAATCCTACATTGACACACACCTGACTTGTCCCACCCAAGAGACAGGAGAGTGGGGTATTCATCACCCAGTTTCCACCATGGTTGTTTCTAGGCCCCAGGCACCCCAGCCAACCCACATTTCCAGCCACAGAAAGTCATCCAGCAGAGGGTCTTTGGGGCTTGCGGTACGAACGAGTAATAATAATGATAACTACCATCATAAAAAGAGTATTGTCTGCTCCTTCAAGGATCTGTCCTAGGAACCTCACTTGTGTCATGTCATTAGTCCTCACTGCAGCCCTGTGAGGCAGCTGCTATGATTGTCCCAGTTTACAGATGAGGAAACGGAGGCTCAGAGCAGATCAACTGCTTGCCCAAGTTGCCACAGCCAGGAAGTGGTGGTGTCAGGACTTTAACCCAGATTTGTTCTGTACATTATCCGGACCTCATCCCCCCTCCTCCACCTCCACCCCCCTTTATTTTTTAAAAGATTTTATTGTGGAATTGGGGAAGGGAACAGTGTTGGGGAATTGGGGAAGGGGAGCATTGTGTGTTTCCAGGACCCATCAGCTCCAAGTCAAGTTGTTGTCCTTCAAACTTAGTCGTGGAGGGCGCAAGCTCAGCTCCAAGTCCAGTCGCCGCTTTCAATCTACTTGCGAGGGGGGCGCAGCCCACCATCCCATGCGGGAGTCAAACGGGCAACCTTGTTGTTAAGAGCACACACTGTCACCAGCTGAACCATCTGGCCGCCCATTGGCTGCTCAGCTCGGGCACAGCTCACTGGCCCATGTGGGAATCAAACCAGCAACCCTGTTGCTCAGAGCTCACGCTCTAAACAAATGAGCCACCCGGCCGCCTCCGCCCCTTCTTTTTTTACGTGTCGGTAGAATGCTGTATTCTACAAGATTTGGGCTCCTAGACAGCTCTCATCTAGGAAGAAGAATGCATCCCTCTTATATGGTGGTTCACAAGCTCTGGAATACACTTGCTAGACATTCACATTCACTTACCGAACCAAAGCCTCGGAGGGAGAGCCTCGGGGTTCCGAATCTGAAGCAGGTGGTCAGCGGATAAAATATATGCTAGTAGGTAGCTCTTTCTTCCATGGGCAGTAAAAAGGAAAAGTCTAATTTGGGTAGACTTGTGCATATTTCCCGCTGGAAAAATGATTTTCAGTAAGTGGGTCATAGTGTGTCTGCATTGTGTAGAAGCCTGGCCTCGCTCCCGGGACCCCCTCCTCTCCAGGGTCGGCGCCATCTCAGCGCTGATCTCATTCTGCCAGCTCCATGAGCAGATCCTGGAGGTGTGGACGCTAGTTCTTGACATCTGAACCTTGGGGCACGGTGAAATGTCTGGGCCTCAGAGTCAGTTCTTTCTGGGGTTCTGCGTGAGCCGTGGTTGTGTCCCCACTCCTGGCACCGCCCTCTGAAGCTCCGTCTCCCATCCTTCCGCCAGAGAGGAAAGAAGGCTTTTCCGTGACTGCAAGAGAAAGCAACAACTGACCCTGGAGGACAACGCCAGGGGGGAGACAGGAAATGGCCCGAGGCTACTGGCAGCCTCAGAGTCAGGCGTGGCCTAGAGGTTACATTACACTGCTTGTCCCTGCTTGTGGTGCTGCCATGATAACAGACGGGCGTCTTTACATCTGCACTCATCCTTTCAGCCGGGCTTGTTTGTGAAGACTCGTAGGCGGAGGTGACAGAAAGGAATAATGTCTTTCTAGAAGCTTCCAGGGTGAAGTCGAGCTACTTCAAACAGGACAGAGTGCAGAAACTTCTTGGTGCGACTGTCATTTGGCATCAGCAGTTTCCCCAGCTCAGGGCTTCCCACACAGCCATCCGACTGTGTCACAGACCTCCAGAGCCTCCAGGGGCTTCCCGGTGCTGCAGAATGCAATACAGACGCCTTGCTGGGGCCACCCGGGCTTTCTGCCCACCCCCCACCCATTCCCTTCCTCATGTCTTCATTCCTCTTATTATTCTCTTCATTTCAGCCTCATTGACCTTTAACTTCTGACCCCTGAACCCACCAGGTTTGATCTTGTCCCCAAACATTTGCACCTGCTGAAAGCCCCTCTCCCATGCCCATCATTCTCCACCCCATTTCCTTGTATTTTTATTATTTTTTGTGATCTGAGCACACCTGCAATTAATTACCTGATATGTGTTTACCCGTTTATTACCCCTCCCCATACACCCTGTGGCTTCATCTACCTTATTCCCTGCGTATCCCAGGACCTGGGGCAGATTAGACCCAGTTAAGTGTTTGTTGAACAAATGAAAGGCTACTTTTGGGCTGGCCGAGTGGCGCGTTGGTTAAGAACTGGCTTGGGACACCAGAGGGCCCCAGTTGGGATCCCACATATGAGGGCCAGTGACACTGCCCTCCACAGCTAAGATGCTGAACAACAGCTCAACCTGGAGCTGGACTGCCATGAGTCGCCGGCGACGGTGTAGGCTGCAGCCCCTGTGGCAGTGGGTTGCCATGGGCTACCGTATGTAGCCAGCAGNTATCAGTTCCAATAGTTTTTTTATGGAGTCTGTGGGGTTCTCTATGTACAGTATCATAGACATGGGTTTCTATGAATACAAGGTATAAAAAGACACACACTCACCAGATCACCTCTGTGGAGTGAAGCAAGGTCAAAAGGTCTGGAAAATTGAGCACATTTCCTGCTTGTCTGTAGTTCCTGCTCTCCTTCTCTTTTGAGATTTTCTGAACCTGCCAACTTCTTGGCAGACATGGTAAAGGGTTTTGATATCAGGGTTTCTCAATCTCAGCACGGTTGATATTTGGGGACAGATATTGGGTTGTCGGAAAAGTCATGATGCATTTTTGCAACGAAAACATAGAAAAAAATACGTCATGACTTTTCCGACAACCCAGTAGTTGTTTGGGGAGCTGTCCTGTGCATTGTAGGATGTTTAGCGGCATCACTGGCCTCCACTGCACTGGATGCCGGTGGTCCCCCCATTCCACCCTCGTTTGTGACAACCAAAAAGGTCTCCAGCGTTGCTAAATGTTCCTGGGGTGGGGGTAGAGGGCAAAATTGCCTTTGGCAGAGAACCCACTGGTTTATATAATAAATCGCTCCTTCCCAACCCGTGGGACCGTGGTGTGCATTACTCGGTTTTAGGGTGTCAGCATTAGACTGCTATTACTAAAATATTCAACAGATTATAGCACGATCAAACATCTTGGTTTGCCTGGACGGTCCTCGGTTGAACACTGTAAGTCCCATGTCCCAGGTGACTCAGGTTGGTCCAGGCAGGTCTATGCTAATAGAAACAGTTTACGTGTTCAGTTAAGGTCACTGCCCACTTCTGTAGGATTGAGACACATAAACATTTCCCTAGAAAGGTAAAGAACGGTGTTGGGAAACCTGAGTTAACCTGCACAAGATTGCCGGTTGACTCCAGTGGTGTTTTTTGTTTTGTTTTGTTTTGTTTTGTCATATACATTTTTTCTTTTAATTATTTTTTATTATGAAATAGACATTTTTTAGAATTAGTTTCAGCTGTACAACACAGTGCAATAGTTATACTTTTTACCCCTCGAAGTGACAACCTCCCTCCCCCAATCCACCACCCCACTTCCCCCCAATATCATACATATCTATTACAAATCCCTTGACTCCACTCCCACACTATACTCCACGTCCCATTACTATGTATATATGTATATATATTCACTTATAGTTGACATACAATATTATACAACATCAGCTTCAGGTGTACAGTGCAGTG